TTTCTGTTAATTAATCAAATATATTTTTTTTTTTGCTCTAACTTTTTTTTTTCTTTTCTTTTTTTTCTATTTGGTGAACCCAGTGTAAGCAATTTATCTACACGTCAGCAATCTCCCCACCCAAAAGACATTCCCCCACAGAGATAAATAGATAGATAGATAGAAAGAGTAAACATTAGAGTACAGAAAAGCAGAGGATTCAGAAAAAAAAAAACAAGAACATAAGAATAAAACAAGGAATATTCCCAACCTTGATATTCACAAATAGAAAAAAAAAGACTCCTCATCCCCATGAACGGGTAGCACTTCCCCACGTAAAAAAAAAGAAGGGGAATGGGTTCTTTAGATAATTCAAAGAAAAGCAAATAAATAAACAAAAAGAAATAATAATAAAATAAAACATTAGAAATGAAAACCAAAGAAAATCCATTGATTATCAAATAGCAACACCACATACATACACACACGTTATAGACGAAGACATTATTATTCAGCTAACCTAGCTCTCATGCCTGCAGCAGAAGAATGTTGATACTTCTTTGCTTATCTCTCTCTCTTTTTTTTTTTTTCGTTTGCCTTCTTTCTGTGGCAATCATCTTGCCATACCATTGAAGAGGAGAATACTTTATCTTTGTATGGGGGTTGAGAACACAACTAATGTTTCTCTTACTCTACAAATGTATTCTAATCCATCCCTAATAAATGAATTCTTCTGAGCAAAAGTAGAAAAACATATCCCCCTATTGCAAAGCGGAAGTATTTGTAAGGAACAACGGAAGTGTTTCTTTACATTTATTGTCGTTAACTAGAATACCATTTTGCTGATGAAACGAAAAGAAAGAAAAAGAGAAAAAAGAGGAAAGAAAAAAAAAACATATATTCAAAGCAACAACACCTCTTTTAAGAAATAGTGACATTATGTTTCGCAAGAGCGCAGAAGCACCCACTTTACTATTTATCATCCATCTAATAACTTTTGATGGTAGAATTCTTCCTATTTATTCTACTCCATTCTTCATTAAATAAAATAATAGCAAGTAGAACTACCTTCGATTGATTAAAAAAAATTAATGTTGAGATGAACGTGGTCAATTTTCCGAATACAACAAACAAACAAACAAAAAAAAACAGAGAGAGTGAGAGTGAGAGAGAAATAGATTTTTCTTTTGTTCTGAAAATGGAGTTGCATTGTTACCTATCATGACAAATTCTTCCTCCTTTATCATTTTTTTTTCTTTTTTCCTTTTAGTCCTTCTTACCTTTTTATGTATTGCTTTTTTTTTTTTCTTTTCTTTTCCTTCCTTTTATACTCTTGTGAATAGGGGGTGAGAATTCTGTTTCCACTCCCCAGTAATAATAATAATAATAATAATAATAATAAATTTTGAACATGCTATATTTCAAGGAATTAGTGGTTCTTTACAGAGTACTTACATATACGCCGAATCATCACTAGCAGTAAGTGCACAATACAGCGCAGTAATAGTGAAATTACTTGCTTTAGTTCGTATGATTTAAAAGCTTCGCCTCTAAACACATTAAGAAGCGTCGTACGATTCATCTCACGATTACGACGAAACACAATTGGGAAAACCATAACACCAATTAATACTTTAACCATGGAGGTAATTAGTATCTGTACAACCCGAGAGCATTTGCGTCGTTGAAGTCGTTCTAAACGACGTTGTAAAAAAAGAAAACTGCCGTGTGCTGCCAGTGGTACCCAACTAACGGCTGCAGAAACCAATGCTTCATCTAATAGTGCTTGATATGTTAAAGCACTCCAATGTGTACCCATCGCCATCAAACGAAAAGGAGACATAGCAATAGAAGAGATAAGAGATGCTGGTATCAAACCAAGTTTAGTAAACCAATGATAAACCAAATCTCGTACCACAGCTCCACAAAGAACATGCGTTAAACCGTTATAAGAGATTATTCGTTCCCATAGAAATTCTTTTTTACAATTTATATCAATAGGGGTATACGGCATATATTGAAGGGTAAAACGTTGTAAAGCAACGGTTGATATGATATCTTGTATAATATCCTCCATTAATCCCCAATCTTTTGGTACAGGATATGGAATTGGTGTACGTGAACAAGATGCTGCACGTCTTACAATTTCTGGTATAGAACACAAATTATGATATTCCTCATTTGCCATAATACGTAGTGGTTCGGATATATTTTGAAAAAATTGAGCTGCCAAGTCTGGGTGTTCGTTAAGAAGATCATTTAAAGAAGATGATGTGAGTTGATATGTTACCGTATCATTGGATGCTGCTTGTACCGTTTCTGCAGCGAATCCTTGCGTAATAAAATCATACATCCCAACAGTTTGACCTCTTCCAATAAATCGTGATGGAATAGTTAATGTATTCTCACCCGCGTGGGCAACCAAAGCTCCTTGTGCGACTACCCACATCGATACATGTCGATCCCCTTGATAGGCCAAATAATCCCCACGAGCATGTGATCGACGAACAAATTTTCTTGCGGCTGCATTTAATTGATGGGATGTACATCCAGAAAAGAGAGGAAGATTTCGCAGGAGTTCATCCACAGAGAGAGTGCTCTTCGAATCCACTAACGGAGACACATCCGAAAGCGCCTCCACGCCAGGGAGAAGATGTCCCTGAAGAACCTCCAAACACGATACCCCACCACTAGAGATATGTGAAAACGCTGAGGATAATCCAAGTTGTTGGACAAAACGGGCAGTACTTCGTCCACCAATGATAGAAAGTTTTCGCTCCTGTGCCAGAACAGAAGCAAAAGCACGAGTTCCTTCATTATATCCCAATGTTGTCCATCCAAATGTACCAGTCCAAAATACACATTGGGATTCTCGAATATATTTTGCAAAAAGTGCAATCGTATTAGCACCACAATCCACTGCATAAACATCAGAAGGTATAGCCACAGATTCCACAATAACAGCAGAACTTTCATTTGCTTTTGTTAATCGCTTTGTTACGACATGATCTACAGGCAATACAAGTTCTACACCATACTTTTCACATAAACCAATAATTTCTTCTGCGAATTGTGTACAACTAACAGTTTCTTCTTCCAAAATTCCTCCATGAGAGTTAAAAAATTTTCGTTTTACAATTTCTGATCCATTAAAAGATTTTCCAACACTCAATCCCTTGGCTGCCACAAAAGGCATAGTTAATGCACCTGCAATAAGAATTTTATCCACCTTACCCATTAAACTACGTATCATTAAAAGTTTCTCTGGAATATGTGTTCCTGCAACAACTACCGCAATAGGTCTGGGTGGATGTGTAAGCAATTTTGAGAAAAAAGCTAATTCTCGTTCCATAGAAAGTCCAGCTGCACCATGATGAAGAATTTTTGGTAACGCTGTATTACTTGCATATTCTTTACTAGCGGTAACAAATGATTCGTTAACAAATACATCAATATCCGCGGCAAAAACTTCAGCCATTGCCCTTCGTTCTCCACAATCTGGAGAAGTTTCATTATGGTAAAATTGTAAGTTTTCCAGAACTAATATTTCTCCAGGTTCCAATTGATGTATTGGAGCTCGTAGGCAATCAGGTGCAAACTTAACATTTACCCCAGGTAAATGATTTGAGAGAGCTTCTACAAATGGAAATGTTGAAACTGGTGCAAAACTTTCCTTTGGTACCACACTACGTAATGCTGCTGCCTTTTCTTCTATTGACAATTCACAGAATGCCTGAGTCTTTCCAGTATTACAATTAACAGAACAAGTGGCTGGAATCTCATACCCTGGTACAGCCTTAAGTATCTCCATCTTTTGACGTGAAGGTACATTAAAAAAGTAGTTACTGTACCCCATTCCACCTTCACGGTGAAAAGCTTCAATTGCATCTTCGCGTTGTTTTCGCGGTAAGTTCAATGGAATTCCACTCAGCGGACCAAAAGATGAGGCCACCACAACAGCACCTTTTTTCTTTAAAAGATAGGAGATTGTTTGAATGGTGGCAAGATTATCAGTTGTTTCTCCTAATATGTTCTGAGGGTCTGCGAGAACGAAGAACTTTTTGTTTTTCAATGGCCATATATCGTAAACAGCACGCTTAGAACCCAAAGAACTCGCAGACATGAATAATTGTTTTTCTTTATTTATTTATTTTTGCACAGATTTCCTTTTTCTTTCTTTTTTTCAGTTTTTTTTTTCTTTTTTCGTTCGTATCTTTAGAGAAAATAGAGAAAAGGTATACTATATATATATAAATAAATATAAATATATATATAACCCTGATTTCTTTATTTTCTTCTATTGGAAGAATGCCTCCCTTCTTTTCAAGAATAAGGAGATGATAAGATAATAAAAGAAAAAAAAAAGAGTATCCACACAAAAAGAAAAAAAAACAAAAACAAAAACAAAAAAAAAAGAACACATAAATATTTATAACGACTACATAGGTAACAACATCTTTGCTCTTAATTACTTTGTGATTACTTGTTCCAACGAATAGGAAAAAAGAAAAAAAAAAAGTTAATGTTGAAATTAACAACAACAAATACCTCTTCTTCCCTCTCTTTCCCTTTCTACATTATCAAATTGAGACTCCTCACTGAATAAGACCCCGTCGAACCACACATGCACATAGACATATCTCTTTCCTTCCCCTTAGTTTTCCCCGTTTCCTCCACTTCGCTTATTGCCTGTTACTTGTTTAGAATTAGGTTAACATTTACAGAAACTATCTCCCTGTTCACACCTAAACACATCCATGAAACTAACACCGAGTACAAAAATCAGTCACCCCATCCCCGTAGATAAAGAATAAGTGCTGATCATCCAGCACCACCATTACCGAAAATACAAGGGAAAAGGTGTGAAATAATAAACAGAGAGAGGAACTCAAGATAGCAAGCAAGACCAATTTTTTTGAAGAAGAGGAATAACAGTAAGAACAGAAAAGAAAGAAAGAAAGAAAAAAAAAAAAAAACTGGAAAAAAGAAAGAAGCAGTAGAAAAAAAAAAAAAAACAAAGAGTAGGGGAAATAGGTCCAAAAATATATGTGTGGATCGATGTGTGGGCCTCTAAGATTCAGGGAAATAAGGAGAAACATCCATGTTTAGATCTTTCTTACACCATTCATAAGATTCTTCAAATGATAAATATAATAACACCTCCAACCACTCTTTTCATGCTCTTTCAAACTTTAGTTGCCTGGCAAAAAGTGCACGCAAAAAGTTTTAACCAAAAACGCAAAGTTTCGAGTCATAATAAAAAAAGAGCTATACCAACAAACCAAAAAAAAAGGCAATTCACTAATCATAATCATATATATATATATATATCTTATGCTCTCCAACATGGTATTTGCCATGCTTGTTTCCACATTTATGACTGTTGTGCAGAATTCGCTGCTAATATTGCCTCTTCCACCGCACACCAATTTCCATTCACTTGTCGCAGTAACGCCAAACCTTCCTGTGGTGCCAAACCAAAGCGATTCCCAATACGGCAAACCTGAATGCTCTCAAGTACGTTTGAATCTGTTAGTTCAGCACAATGTTCAAACATAGATAACGGTACACCACGAATATCATTTAAGACCGTTATTAATTCCGCATCATTGTTAACATGCTGACACAAAGCCATCACTACATCTGGTGGTACATTATGTCGTCTACTTAAGAGTTCCACACGACTACGATCTGTTCTTGGGCTAAATAAGATACGACTTTCACTTAAATCTGTATTTATACTATCACCATTACTAACACTACCTTTTTTTTGTGAATCTCCACTTAAACCTGTAAATGGGTAAAGCGACACCATATCATTTGTTATTAACCAACGACCTGCCTCACTTTGCGAAACAGTCAATACACGTGAAAAATTACGCCGAATAGACGGAAGGTCATTATTTGAATTATTTTGTTGAGATCGGTAGGTCCAAATCATTACACCATGTAGTGTTACTACTGTTACTGGTACCTTCATAGCTACAGGTGAGGCTCCATAGAGGTATGTATTATCAAGAAATGATGCACTTGCACTTCCATGAAGAAAATGTTGAACGTTAAAACACTTCGGATATAACCAATGTTCAAGTTGTGAACATACCTTTGTCCTTCCACATGCCATAACATTTGATTTAACACCATGTAATAAATTATGATTACATTCAGTTTGCTTTAAACGAAGTCCTACAATTTCTCTAATAATATTGCGTTGTTGATTAAGTTGTTGTGTGCCAGATTCCATTTTTCGCGCTGGAGAACTTACAGCGGACTCTGGTGATGAGAGAGAAATGGAAAGTACGGCGTTTGGTGCGTATACACTGGACACCACATCTACACCACGTGGTACTTCTGGAGTACCATCGGATTCTAACGGATTTAATAAGGAACATTGTATAAACTGTAGCACATGCCGTTGGGCATCATTATATCCCGCATCTACAAACTGTGGCCACGGTAAAGAGAGCGGTGGAGCCACAATGGATTCTCCATCTAGACCTAGAAGGAATGGTAATACTCTTCTCACTTGAGCACGGTAGTTCTTATTCTCTGTTATTGGATTTCCCAGAAAGACAATTTCCTGAAGGTTACGAAAACTCTTTAAATCGCTTAAAACGTCCAGTGAGTTAATTTGATTATCTTCAAAGGAAATAGCTCGCAGTGAGAGATGGAGATCTGCCTTTTCCAATTGAGTCGCTAAAGGATGTAATGTTGTGATGCCATTTTTCTTTAATTGCAAAATGGATGGTGGTGGAATAATGAGCGACTTTATGGTTGTACACAGTGCATGACAGAAACTCTGCGTATTAAAATTAATGGAACTTGCCACATCTTTCAGATCGGGAAGTTTACTGAATTCCGTCAGATCTAACATCTCTGTTGCTGCGTTGTAAACATGATGCTGCTGCTTTTCAAATACAAGTTTCAACATTGTAGAGAGTAGATTCGTTGCCGTCTCTGAAGATCCATTTCCGGATGATCCACTGTGTAAAATGCCGGACTTCCCATCTGATCCCTTTCCACCCACATGTAAATAGGGACAGTTTTGATTGGTGCACGTGCCACGTCTGAAGAACACACATGGAACCCTTGATTTATCTTTCGTTTTCTTGTATGGAGCTGACATTTTTTTTTTTTTTCTGTCTTTCTTCCTTTATTATTTAAATCCTCTTTTCTGCAATTCTATTCGTTCGTTTTCTTTTTTTTATTCTTAACGATTCTATATATATATATATTTATATATATCCCGATCTTTCCCTTTTTTTTTTTTTCCTTTCTCCCTGCACTCCTTAAATTTTAACTGTAAATTCCTTTAAAAATCTTTTTTTTTCCTCCTTGCACAGATTTTTTTTTTTTGTGTTTGTTTACTCCAACACTGCTCCAACCTCTAGAATCTCGACTCCACTACTTTCAAAAGGAGGAAATAAACCAACAGGAAAAAAAAAGGAAAAAAAAAGGGAAAAAGAACATCATTAAGAAATTTGTCAATATATAGTCTCAGTAGAAGGATGTTCCTCTCCTCGACATTACAAGGTGTCGTAGGAAATATAGTAATAAATTACAGCAAAAAAAGAAGAAAAGCGAACGTTAAAAACGCATTATGTATTCGCCAATGAAGGAAAAGAAAAAAAAAAAAGCTTTTAAAAAACACCATTAATCATTTTCTTCTTCTTTTTCAAAAAAAAAAAATATATATATATATATATATATATATCCACCTCTCTTCTATCCTTACTTTCGCTATTTTCAACCAAATATTTTTTTTCCTCTTTTCTTTTCCGTTCTTCTTCTTCTGATGACTCCTGCTTTCATTCTCACGTTATATTCCACATCATGGAGCAACCCAAACTCGCATCTCGTAATAAGACACAAATTGGAGGAAGTATTCTTATTTCTTTTTTTTTTCTTTTCTTGTTAGGAAAAGAATAAATAGAAACAAAATACTTCGCTCTCTCCATGTGTTCTCTTATGGCCGTCCTTCTTGAGCCATGCCCCTTATTCTTGACCCCCCACATTTCTATTCCTATTTCGCTTTTTTTCGTTTTTCTCCTTCTTTTTTTTTGTTGTTGTTGTTCTTCTTCTTGGTATTCGGTGGGTGATAGTATAGCTATGTTATGTTCTTCCTCACCTAGGGTTACTCTGCAAATTGAATATTCATCTCCATGTATGAACAGGGAAAGGGAATATCGTAGAACTTAAGTGTGTTAGGGTGTACTACGCCAAAACTACCAATCTTTATCTTATTTCCCTTGCGGTGAAGAAAGATATCCATACAACGACCAGGGAAGAAGGCCCCATCGTTGCCCCGATCCAATGAATATGTGTCACTATCAACCTCATCAGGGTCATCACCGGAAGCCGCACTTCCCTCTCGGGAAATACCGAGTTTTACCATCACAAACTCCACAAGACCGTGAATGTCCTCAAAGCCGCTAGATTCACTGCAGCAATGTAGGGCAGCCACGTGGCGCTGATTACGTGCTCCACACCGTGGGTATACGGAGGTAGTTGTAATAATTGGTGGAAAGTTAACTTCATTATCTATCAGTACCACATCAGCACATTCAAAGAATCGAAGAGGAAGTGCATGTGATTTGTTGGCATTGAGTGTCTTGAGTATACCTGGCATTAATGAAGGACGGCAAATTTGAAACTCCATTGTCTGGGGATTGGCAATATGAACAGCTGTATCATTATCCTCACGATTCAATCGTGCAAAAGCCTCATCTCGAGAACACAAAGAAAATGTTAATAATTCTGTATAACCAGCGTTAGCCATCTCAATACGAAGAAGGTGAGAAAGCTTACTGATGGGTTGTTGAGTCACATCCCCATGTGTGGTACATTCAACGTACTTGATGTTATCATATCCATATGCCACAGCAACATCCTCCATAAGATCTGTAGGACCAAGAACATCAGATCTTGTTGGAGGAACTTCAACCGTAATAACATCATCCTCCACCTTGGCAACACGGTGTAGCATTCGTTCAAGTAATTGACTGCATTGATCTTTAGAATCAAGTTTAATACCAATAAGTCTTTCAGCTTTTGAAATTTTCATAGACACAAGATTTGAGTCTAAGTTTGGTGTTACTTCTGTCTTTGTACCATCTGGTGTTACTTCTTCATAATCCACCTGTACAGCTTCAACTGTGAAAGGTTCTTCACAATATGCAGAAAAAGCACAAACCATTTGATTCACCAATACATTTGCCCTATAATGATCAGGAGCTGTACATTCAACAAAAATGTTCCTTGTCTCTTGACTAATACAAGAAGCATCTGAGTTAATGATAGGAGGTAAAGAGAGTATCTTTTGTGTCTTGGGTTCCATCACCACAGGGTATTTGTCAAGGTGAGAAATAAGGGGAATAAACTTTGAAATGTGACGATCTTCCTTGTAAAATTCAGTAAGGCCTTCTCCACTACAGTCTAGAATACGGTTGCCTTGATTAAGAGGAGTAAAGCGAATCATTTCCTTTGAACGAAGTGTGTAAAGTAACTCATTAGAACCAATTTTATCCAAATCATGAGTTCCAACAGAAGCCAATGTACGACGACGTGCAAGTCCTGAATGTAATTTTTCTTGAAAATCAATAAAACTTCTGTAGCTTCGATCGTTAAAACGAATATTCTTTAATACAGCACATACCACATAATCACGAATATTTCGCACAGACTTATCTACAGTCATCTTGTAGAGTGGATTACTGCGGTTAAGAACTTTATATTGTGGTGGTGGCATCATACCAAGAAACACCTTAAGAGCTGCTGCCATTCCTTCTGTACAAAGTAGATCATATCGATTGGCAGGTGTATCAATTTTGTAAATCACCTCATCAGAGAGTTCCTCCAGTTTAGACTGCACGGCAGCACCCTGTTCGCGGCGATACATCTCACGCTCGCTGGTGACATCATCAAGTTCCACACCAAACTGAAAACATATATCCTCAAATTGTTCCTCAGTGTATTTCTTCCCAACAAGATCAAATAAGTAATCACGTGCAACAGCAAGGGTGGGCATTCTTTCTTATTTCCTTTTTTCTTCCTCTTCTTTTTCTTTTTTTTCCTTTTTTTTTGCTTTTGTTTCTGTTTGTTGGTGAAGGGTGAGTATATTTTTCTCTTTCTCTCACTCTTTGTGTGTGTACGTGTACGTGTGCTTTATTTAACTTAGTTTTCTTCTTTTTGTTTAGTTTTCTATATTTTCAATCTCTCTTTTTATTTCGTTCGCGTTACAACTCTGCTCTTGTGTAAGACAGAAGTCTGCTGTACAAATAAAGAAGGAGAAAAAAAAAACAAACAAAAAAAAACACACACACAATTTATTAATTCTTCTTCTTCACTCCACAAAGAAAAAGAAAAATCCAGACAAATAATAATAATAATAATAATAATAATAATAATAATAATAATAATAATAATAATAATAATAATAATAATAATAATAATAATAATAAAGAATTGTGCGCATAATCCATGGATACACGACACCCATTGTTTGCACTTTAACTTCTAATAAGCAAACAAACCAAAATAATAATAATAATAATAATAATAATAATAATAATAATAAGAATAAGAATAAAAGACTGTCACTATATTCTTATTTCTGCCTTTTTAATTCCAACAGTTCTTGGATTCTACTACGTATCACATCCTTCTCGGTATGTGCACTGCCATTACTGTCGCTGGGATTGTTGCTGTGAACAGTGTTCATCTTCGACTCAAGAGCCCGGCGTTTTGCCTCCGCAGCGACTGTTCGGTTCTGAAAGCGTTCAATGCGGCGCAGGGGATCATGCCGCTCCTTCTGCAGTTTATCCAATTCCTTCCGCAGCTGTGCAGCATCTGAGCTGGAAAGAAAACCCGTCACAACCTTTTTATTATTATTATTATCAGAACTAGAAGAAGGTTCATCTTCCTCGCGACCACGTTTGCGTTCTTCTCTCTTTATTTCTACATCATTTTCTCCTTCCTCTTTTTTGAACGTTAGCGAACTGCTGGTCTTCAAAAGAGTTGGCGCAATATCTGACATTCCACTATCCACTGTTGCGGAGGATCCTTTAGAGACCACTTTGTTTTCCGCAGCAAATATATTCTCAACCTGACGGAATTTCGCCAGTTGCCCACTTACACTATCCGCCGATGCGGCAAGAACGAGATCATCATATCGGCGCTGTTCCTGATCACGACGGAGTTGCACATTACGTTCGTCACTCAACTTCTTTCGTGCTTCCTCTTGTTCCTGCCGATGTTCTACCTTACTGAGATTACGGTACGTCAGAGGATGAAAGCTCTTGTGCCGATTGATGTCCTTCTTGTGAGAGGCGTACATTTTCCTTTACTTTCTACTAAAACAAAAAGTGTGTACTCAACAACAACAAAAAAAAAGAACAGAAATGTAAGTAAAATACAATACACAATAAAACAAACACAAAAATAAATACAAAACATCATTACCGATAGAACAAAATTCAAACAAGATCAGTGACAGAATAGATTATACCAACCCATGTTAAGAAAGAATCCATGTCATTAACCCAGAAAAAAAAACCTGTATTATTAGATATTATTATTATTATTTCAAACACCATTTCTTCTCAGTGCCTTTACTTATCTCAGCAGTGCACGGCACCAAGTATCGCCGTGCAACCGCTGTTCAAGAGAAACACACACTCGTCAATCCTTTTTTTTTCGTCTTTCTTATCACGAGTCATGCAGAGGCATTATCTCANCAGGAAAAGAGGCGTGAAGCATCAACACCTCCACCACCGCAAGAGGTCGATGTACAGTTCTACAATTTGGATCCATCGCATTTTCACAATCCTTTAACAAACCCGGTGAAAGCAAAGGTTTCTCATATTTTGTAGATGCCAATAATTTCTTCCATTCCTCTTCTACTGAAATAGGAAACAGATAAAGCATCTGTAAATTGAACACGTTAGGTCCTTTCAATGGAAAACTCCACTCAGTACCTTTTGAAATCCTATTGTAGTTTTGTAAGTGCAAATTATCAGGAAGATAGAAAAACACATTGCTGGTTGTTGATTCCACCAAAGCGTTATGTATGTAAAGACAGCTCACCTCACCGTCACGAAGATATCTGCCATCAGGGAGTTTACACTCTGCATCAAACATCTGCAAACGTTTTGCAAATTCAGTAGTTTCCCCACTTGTCGCTACATTCGTATTCGTCTGAAACAACCTTGGCACATCTCCAGTCAAATCCACCAATATGAAAAAAGTCAAGAATAGAACCAATGCAACAAGAGTCAATCGCCAAAACAGAACTGAGATTCGGGCATTTCGTCTTCCCATAGGATCCATATCAAATCCCTTACTAAATTCTTTGAAAGGAGAAGGGAAAAATACGGGAAACCATAAACTCACCAAAAAACCTTATATTTAATATCATAACATAAAATGAATTTCAAAATAAAATTTACAGCAAAGGGAGAAAATCATCATTTTTTTCTTTTGCTGAAAGCGGGGTCACTACCGCTGTACAGTTCAGAAGTACAAATAATCCAAAAATGCACTTTAATGCGTAAAACCACAGTAGAACATCTACTTGGTGAAAGAGATCAGAGATCCACCAATAAATAAGCAATAGCCATATGACGTCAATTAAGGCAACAGAACAACATGAAACTCCATTGCTATCCTTTTGTTTGCAAAGAAAAGGATTCCAACTACACTCTTAGGAGAACACAACGGCTAGTTCTCGAAAAATACGGTGTCATTCAGTAAACTATTATCCCTTATAACTAAAACAAAGCAAATAATTGAC